TTCGGGGTGTTGGCTGCGGGTGGAGTTTCTGAGCCACTTGGTGAGGGGGCTGATGTCCTGGCCCGGGGATGAGGAGGTTGCGGAGGCTCCTGCTGCTTCTTTCATTAAACAGGTGGGGGACACCGAGATTCCGAGACAGGCGGGGTCTGAGGATGGGATCCGTGTCCCTCTCCTGTTCAGTGGCCTCCTTAAGCACCATATCTCTCTGCCTGAACACGAGGGATTTCAGGCCACCACATTCCTCGCCTTTTTCAGGAAAAAAAAATTCGAACTAGCCAGGTATGGTGGCACACGCCTGTAATCCCAGCACTCGGGAGGCTGAGGCAGGAGGATCACTGTGAGTTTGAGGCCAGCCTGGGCTACAAAGTGAGCTCAAGGCCAGCCTGAACCGCATAGAGAGACCCTGTCTCAAAAAGACAAGAGAACAAAATCGAACTTAGTCTCATTTTATTGACATTTTGTACTCATTTTTAAAATTTCCTAGCTTATCCTGGGGCCTAACGATGAGGTCAGTGTGACAGGCAGGGCGCTTCCCACGGCGCTTTGTGGGACCTATGAAAACAGAGTAGTATTTTTAAAAACTGAGGGAAAGAAAAACTAAAAGTTTAAAATACAGATAAACACACGTCCTGAGTAATCCACCACAGTGACCGCTGGCTTCCGAGACGGCCTCCTGCTGCCTCCGGCGCCATCTGTCGGCCAGCATTGGGCATGACGTCTCAACCGTGGAAGGAAGAGAACGAAAGGCAACTGGGAGAAAATACAAAAGAAATCTCAGCAGTTTTCAGTGTGTTAGTGTTAGAAACATCTTTATGCCATTACAAAAACGCACAAGCTGGACGAGGTGGGGCATTCCTGTAATTGCACTTACCTGGGAGGCTGATACAGGAGGATCGCTGTGAGTTCAAAGCCAGTCTGGGTTACATAGCGAGATCTTGCCTCAAAAAAAAGCCTGGCATAGTGGCATCCTCCTGTAGTCCCAGAACTCAGAAGGCTGAGGCAGGAGGATCACCAGGAGTTCGAGGCCAGCCTGAACTGCATAGCAAGATTCTGTCTCAAAAACTAAAACAAAAAGGGCTGGGGATTTAACTCAGCAGCACAGCGCCTGCCTGGCAAGCACAAGGTTGTGAGTTCAATTCCTGGTACCGGAAAAAAATAAAAAATAAAACAAAAAAGAATGTCATAATATCTGAAACCTATAGGTGAGGTCATATCAAGTTGCTAAATAACCCTGACTGGGCTCAAACTTGCATTCCTTTGCCTCAGCTTAGCCAGACTGCTGTAATTACAAGCATGAGCCACATATGACCCAGCCCAATTTTTAATTTTGATGAAATCTAATGTAGGTAATTTCTTTCTTCTATTTCTGCTTCTGGCATCATATTTAAGAAACCATTGCCAGTGGGCCAGGATGGTGGCACATGCCTGTAGTCCCAGCACTCAGGAGGCTGAGGCAGGAAGATCCTTGTGAGTGCAAGTCCAGCCTGGGCTGCAAAGTGAGCTCAAGGCCAGCCTGAACTGCATAGTGAGACACTGTCTCAAAAAAAAGAAAAGAAACCATTGCCAGCTGAGTGTGGTGGCACACACCAGCACTCTGGGTGGCTGAGGCAATGTAGCA